ACTTCTGTGATAAGTCGAGAGCACTTGGTACGATGCAAACGTATACTCTTCAGAGTGGTGTCTTCATCCCAATTTTCACCACCAATTCTCCCAAGTGGTCAATACTCTGGATGGCAGAGTGGGCCACCACGAAAGCACTCAATTGCAATTCCTGAATTTTTGTTTCACTGCCAACTACGTCGATCCCGAAGGATGAGATCTTATGAGGAGTACGCAATGCTTTGGCATTCTTTGTATGCTTGTCAGTCTTTCTATGACTCCTTAAATCACTTTTGTGTGCTCGTAATCTATTTTCGCAGAATTTGCAATACGCCTGCTGATCCAATGCATTCGGGTCTTTGTTCCTCGTCAACCATCCTGTTGATTGAATGTAAACAAAACGTGAGAAAAAAGAACAAAGAACCATCACCATACATAATGAAGATTAAACTCTTTCGAAGGGATTAAAGGCATGTGGCAGTCATTCGATTATTTGAAACATTCGATTTACCTTGAAATTTTGGATCCTTCTCCCAAGCAACATTATAATTTTTCTCGTATTTTCCCCATTTACCCATCGTTCAAATTCTAAATTCTCTCGTTTAAGGCAGACAACGTCATAGAGACAAGGTTCCAAGAAAGAAGAAAATGTCTCCAGTGCAATCTGGTGCCCTCATATTGAACCTTAGAATCACCAGGTGGGCGCATACGTAGATGAGATAACTCAGACTATCTACACAACGTTTCGTCTCGACTTCGAACGGAATCATATAAATGATCATTCTCTTATTTATTACGGACTATAAGAGTTAGAGAGGGAAATTGAAAAAACAATGTCGGCAAGCCCAAAATCGCCGACAAAAAATGTGAGATAGCCCAATTGGGCTTTGGGCTATAACCTAGACATTTGAATAGCCGCGGCAGCTCCTGGAGTAGCCCAATTGGCGATAAATAGCCCAATCTGGCAACCCTGTAAGGTGCGAGCCTAGTGTGCGAAAGGTTGTGAGTTCGATTCAAAGAGGACAAAAGTAGTTCGACCCCAACGGAGGGATGCCGCCACGGTCGAATCTGACGGCTGGGCGAACTGCCTGTGCGGGTAACTCGGCAGTAGCAGTCCCCCTGTCACAGGGATAGTTTCGGAGTGGAATTTGTGTCCTCCTCGTCCTNAAAATTATTTTTCTCACTGGCCCATGACTTTGTCGTAGTTTGTATTTTTCTGTTACAGAGATTAAGGGATGCAACGGGGATCGATTGATGGGGAATTTAATTCTCCATCACACCCTCTATGTTTCATTCCTTAATATTAATTAGCCAGCAAATGAATCACCTGAAAAACATTAAGAACATGCTGAGGACGAGGACACAAATTCCACTCCGAAACTATCCCTGTGACAGCGGGACTGCTACTGCCGAGTTACCCGCACCGGCAGTTCGCTCAGCCGTCATTTTCGACCGTGGCGGCATCCCTCCGTTGGGGTCGAACTACTTTTGGCTTGGGGTCAGTCTAACCCTGAGATCTGAGCCTCTACTTTAGTCAATCCTCTTTGGTTCGATTCCCCGTGGAACCGAGTTTTTCAACCGGCGGCTCCGGCGAGCGGGAGGTCGCTGATATAGTGACCGCCTGTACCGGCATGGGTTTTCTGTGGTTTCCCATGCTACTCATATGTTCTATAGGAGTGCGAATGCGGTGCAGTGTAGAATCCACAGTCGCATGCATAGGGTTGGATAGGGCCGATTGGCCAATTAGAGGGCAGAAAGGGCCGAATATAAAAAAAAAACTAATCGCATCCATTTTACGCATATGTTTATGAGAATCCTGGTGAATCTGATTTTGCTCTGACAATCCGTACACGAAATACACAATTTCAAGAGAATGAAGAGGTACAACGTCCTTGTCGAAGAGCTATTCGCCAAGAAATCGCGAAACCAGTCTTCCATGAGGGCTCTTCAAACTGGAGGAGACGTAAGTGGACACGTAGTGGGCAAAAGTGTGAAGTTAGGGCAAGTGATCCCACCTACAATTCCTCGTTTGAGAACACTCCACAAGGCCAAGCAGGATTATGTAAATCAGAGACTCGACGTGGATCCAGATGATGGAAAAGATCTTCGTCACATTCAGCACACCAGCACAACGTCATGTTTACAGTCGTTATCGTTCAACCACGAAGAAACTTTCGGTTGTGGGCATCGATGGCACAGGGTCGATTGCTGGTACTTTTTTACGGCCCGATGGGATGCGATCTGGGCATATATTTTACTATCCCATTGTCATTATCTTCGAAGAAAAGGTGTTGACTATTCATGGGATGTTTACTGAGAGCCAGAGCACAGAGACGTTCGAGAGATTTCTCAAAGTCTGGATCAATCCTCCGAGGTCATTCCCCAAGTAACCCAAACCATCTCAACTGTTTTCTGATAATTCACGAGCTTTATTCAATGCGAGTTGGCTTGCTCTCAATGAGCAGAATATATCTACATATGTAGATACATGTTTTCAATTCGCATCAAACCATCCCGAGTACCCATATCGCCCAAAGATCAGTACAATCATCAGGTTAGATGTAACCCATCTTGTGAAAATGGTGCTAGGTTGGCCTTCTCTGAAACAACTACCACTGACAACTGTTCGAAGAATGTACAAATATTGCTTGGGTTTGTTGATCGACTGTCAAACGCTTTCATCATTTGAAGAAATTTTTCTCCTTATTTGTACTCTCGAATCACACGAATATCAAGATGAAATCAGCATAGTAATTCCTAGCGTCACAACGATTTTAGATGTCCGCAAAGCCTTGGAATAGAAAATCGCAACGAGAAGTGAAGATTTTTTTCAAGAAAAATAGTTTAGAGGAAGTCACTGATGGGAAAGCTAAGGATTTTTTCTGATGCTACCGCCTAGACGAGCAAGAGTCATATCCGCGAATGGATTGGCAAATTAGCAACCAGAGCACAAGTCAATGAAGTTCCTCAGACGCCAATTGAACCGAATGCGTTTTATACCCCATCGTTTATTGCTGATCTGACAGAACTTTTGTATGAATTTCTCCCCGTAAAAATGATAAATAATTGGTAGAAAACCCCTTCACCCGACTATCAGTGCAGTAACTCTCAAGATTAAATTTCACGAGGGTTGTACCTTGTGAGGGTCAAACGTCACGAGGGTCGTACCTTGCAAGGGTCAAACGTCACGAGGGTCATACCTAGCAAGCGTCAAACATCATGAGGTTCATATCTCGCAACGATCATCTCTGGCGAGGGTCAAATATGGCACAGGTCGTATCTCGCAAGGACTCCGCCTCGTGAGGGTCAAACGTCGCAACGGTCGGTTCAGAGGTCAGAAGGGTTATACCTCGCGAGGATCATATCTCCTATTAGACCCTTGACGATTTTCCGTTTTGCTCCTTTTGTTTGACCCTCATAATCGTTCGACCGTTGTGCTTGTCTTTCCTGCCTCCCCGATTGCCGCTTGACTTTTGAGATTGTCCTCTACCTACCTCTGTTGTTTAACCGTTACAACGTTTGACCCTCGCGAGGTCAAACCCTTGCGATCTTTGATCCTCGTGAGGTTGAACCATTGCGATGTTTGACTCTTGCGAAGCATGACCCTTGCAACCCTCTCAACGGGGTTGTTCTCGCGCCAGAACAACTCTGTTGTTTTCAATGCCGCACACACACTGTCAAAAAGGTCGAAAACCTCCTTGGTAAATTACGTGTTTTTTGGCATGTAGAAAACTTGGTAAAATGCCGATGGTATGTTACTTGCCCAACCCTGCTCATGATTCACATGGGCTTAGCCGACCGATATTAATTTTTCAATTAATGCACTTATTGAATCGATTGCTAATCGTTGCCGATCGTTGAAGTGCATTTAATAATGTTTGATAATAATTTCTTGAATTATCAAAAATTAATCAAATTCGCCCATGTGTTTATCCATTTCAAGAAATTATTATCAAACGTTATTAAATGCACTTCAATCATCGGCAAACGATTAGCAATCGATTCAATAAGTGCATTAATTGAAAAATTAATATCGGTCGGCTAAGCCCATGCAATCTGCTCATGAGTACGCCCAGCATGAACCCTGAAAATCCCACCATCGACAACATTACCAGCGCTCCAACCACCCGCAGATACCCAATAAGTTCGTTGGACTGTCGGTAAGTTTCCCGATAACTTACCGATAGTCCAACGAACCCGACC